GATCGAGCCCCTTCGCCCCGCCTACAGATTAATGGAAACCACCTGGCTGGTGAGCGGCACTCCACCCCCAGACCCCACTTGCCACCATTCCCATGACCATCTGCTTCTAATGAGAGCCCCATCCCCCTGCATACCAGCCCCCCGGGCTTATTAATCTCATTAGGCAATGACAAATCATCCCGGGGCTGAGCAGGCTCCCGCCCCAGGCCCTTTCCTCCAGGCGCCGGCCTCGGGGCGGTGTCCACACAGGCCTCGCTCGCTCTCCCCGGCTCGCTTCCGCGCCCCCTCCCGGGGCTGGCTGCCCTGTGGCCCACTTGGTCCCGGGTTCTCAGTGTGATGGGGCACCCCCGGAGCCCTGGGAAGCCTGATGGTGGCCTGCTCCCTGTGGAATGGGCTTGGTGGGAGATCTGGGCAGAGATGCGAGGCCTCGGGGACTTTCAGCACCTCCATTTCATCTGCATGACTGCCTGCTCAGCGCTGGGGACTCTGGACAAACCCTAGGCAAGGGCAATGAAGGGGCGCAATGGCAACGAAGGGGCGTATAACATCTTGCAACTTGGAACTCTTCTGAGGGGAAGGGAACTGCCATTTACTGACTGAAAGCCCACGCTGTCCCGGGCTCTCTTCCTAGAGAAACTCCTCCATTCCCATGACAACCTGTCAGGGGAACATGCACTGTCCCATTTTCCAGGGGAAAAGCCCGAGGCTTGGACAGGCACCTGAAAGGTAAACGGCAGAAGCATGATTCAATCCCAGGCCCCTTTTTACTGCACAGTAAGCTCTGTGCCCTTTCATAGCCTGCCTAACCCCATGCCAGCAACAAACAGGCTTGTCCACGCTGAGGGGTGGTGGAATACAGAGAGGGGGGCCTCACCCATGTCTGGGCCCTTCTGTACACTTCTTGGGCTGGCCATGAACTGCCTCTGCTGGACCTTGTTTCAGGTTTTCTTGTCCACAGGGCCTGGCTGATAAAGGTGTGTCTCCTGTATCCCCACCCTCACCCCCAACCTCTCTGGAGCATGGGTACTCCCATGGGATCAACTCGGACCCATTCCCACTCCTCACCCTTTCTGTCTCCTCCCCAGCCTAGGGTCTTGCATTGCAAACCAGGGACCATAAAGACCTGTTCCCCCCACAGGCTTACATCGGATCCATTCTCAGAGGCCAGAGTGGTGCTCGGCACAGGGAGGCAATACCAGCATTTTCTGGAGCAGCCCAGACCTACCACTTCAGTTATTAGACTAGGCCCCAACCCTCCTACGGGACTTGCTGCTATGGACTGTGGGATGTTAAGCGCCACGGGCTCGGCTGCCCAAGCCTGGAGGTCTCAGCGTGACAGGACAGAGAGATCAGTGTTTCTTGGCACCAACTGCACGCCAGGCCATGGCGTCTCTTTTGTGATGAATAGGCCCACAGTCTACGGGTCATCTGGTCCACTGGTTCCCAACCCCAGATGAGAATTGCCTGCATACCTTGTAAGAAATTCCCAGGCCCCTTCCAACCTGATGAATTAGCATCTGCGGGAGTGGAGGCCCAGACCCTATCCCACCTCTGGGGTAGTGAGAGAGTAGTTGTGATGATTAGTTTTGTGTCCACTAGGCCAGGCTATAGCATCCAGTAACTTAATCAAACACTAATCTAGCTGTTGTGTAGGCATTTTGTAGATTTGGTTAACGTGTATGATCACTTGACTTTAAATAAAGGAGATTACCTTTGATAATATGGGTGGGCCTCATCCAATCAGTTGAAGGCTTTAATAGCAAAAGCTGAGGTTTCCCGGAGGAGAAATTCTGTCTCAAGACTGGAGCATCAACTCCTGCCTGACTTTCCAGCTTGCAGGTCTGCCCTACAGATTTTGGATTTGTCAGCCCCCATATCACGTGAACCATTTCCTTAAAATAAATTTCTTTATAAAGAAATAAAATAATTTCTTTATATGTCATATAAAGATACACACACATACATCTCTGATTGGTTCTATTTCTCTGGAGAATCCTGACTGACACAATAGTGATCAACCAGGCTGGAGACCCTGAGGCCTCCAGACCTTGCACTGCCTTTTCATCCCTGGGAAGCGTGGGCATCTGCTGAACACAGTGCCTCCCTCTGCCCAGAAGCCTCCCCTCCTTTGGAATGACCAGCCACATCACTTTGCTTTATGATCTCTTCCTTCATATGCAGTACTTCTCACACACACACACACACACACACACACACACACACACACACAGGATCACAGAATTTTAAATCCATAATGCACCTTACAAATCACCCTGTCCCCACCTCCCTTTTTACAGATGAGGAAACTGAGGACCCAAACCTGGCACCCACCCCTGCATCTCTCTGACCTCATCTCTGACCACTTCCTAGTCACAATGCCTTTCTGTTCCCTAGACTCACCAGGCATTGTCTGGACTTGAGGGCCTTGCCAACTGCCAATCTATCTAGCCCCCAGATTCCTCCTGATTCTTCTGCCCCTTGAGTTTCAGGCTCAGTCACCTTGTCAGCGACGCCTTTCTTGACCTCACTACATAACAGAGCACCTCCCCCATATTGCTTTCTATCCTGCTTCATTTTTCTTTGTAGCACTTATTATACATATTATACACTTATTTACTATTTTCTGGGTCCCATCAGTAGCGGGTAAGCTCCATGAGGGCAGGCATTTGGTCTATTGTGCTCACTCCTAATGCCTAGAAGAGATTGGCACATAAATAAAGGAAATTTGTGATCTATAAATGAATAATAAAATATAATAAATAAAGGGAGCTCAATAAAGTTCTCTAGAATGAATGACCAGAATGATTCCTAACAGAGCAGGGGCTCAAACTCAGGACCTTGACTTTTCACTCAAGTGCTCGTTCTCATGCTCAGCACCCCTTCCACCTCATAGGACTCAGGATTTAGTCATAGCTCTTTGACTATTCTCCCACTTTTCTCTGATTGCCTCCCACGCTTTGCATGCACCTGTTATGTGGTGACCAGAGTCACAGTGCTGGGGAGGAGTCCAATTCAATATGTTGGCATGGGGGGGAAGAAAAGGGCCAACTTTTCTTCTTCATCAGAAGATCTACCCTCATGAGATTGAAGGGTGAGGAGGAGGCAGACCTAGTGGGCCTCTGACTGATAAATCGAGGGGGTAAAGACGGGAAGATGGCAGTGAGCACACAAGAGGCTCAGAGAGGTGATTGCTCATGTTAAGGAGAAGGGAGAACATCTCTGGGTGGTGAATGGCCCTTGTGGGGCAAAGCAAAGGGCTGGAGAGGCAGCTGTGGTTTGTCTTCCTCCCAAAGATCCTGGAAGGAGAGTCTGGTTTCCTGCCAGTCAGCCCTCTAAGACCATGCTTGGGCTGAGCATAGGAATCAGAGCTCCGAAATGTTAACTGCATTGAGAAGATAAAACCTGCCCAAGGAGACGTTAAATAGCAGCTTGGTGGCAGCTCTTTCCACTTGCCTGGACCACCCAGTTTGTGAGATGCAGAACAGACGATCAGAGGGACCTGGTCACAGAGCTGTGTTGACACCAAAGTTAACATCCCAAGACCCCCTCCCACCCCCAGTATGCCCCAGATCAGACAGAACGTGCTCTGCCTCCCCACCCCCACTAACCAAGCCAGGCCATCAGGCTTTCCTCACCGAATGGGGAGAGGGGTTGGAGGAGAGGCTTTCCCTTCCCCTGTGAAGTGGGTGTAATAGAGACAACCTCATAAGGTTGTCGTGGTTAAAGATCTAAATTCCTTGCCACATAGATACTGCATCTCTATTTCCCTTGAAATTTCCAGCCTTCACGGATCCTTCCTTTGGACTTGATGTAAACCCATCCTACTTCATTCTAATGCACATGGCATTGTCTGTGGTTTCCACTAGACTGTAAGTTCTTTGGGTCTGTGGGAGCAGGCTTCTGCTTTATTCTTTTGTATCTTCCATCACATCCACCCAAGCCTTTTAGGCAAAATGGTACTAGAGGGGCAGGGACCCTGTCGGAGGACTTGGGAATGCCCAGCAGGGTGGGAGCAAAGACAGGAGAGAGGGGGCTGGAGGAGGCAGAGATGGAAGGGGGGGAGTTCAGTCTCCAGGAAGGATGGGAGGCCCAGTCTTCTGTGGAGGAGACGGGACCCAAAGCTGCTGCACAGGCTGTGGATCCTGGAGCGTGCCAACTCAACAGGGAACTGAGAGGGGGTTGGTTCAAGCCCTCATTTGGCAGGTTAAGTGACTTGCCCATGACCGAATCCAGTCCCCAACTCTGGGACGAAGTTTCTTTTAGGGTAGCAGGGCCCTCCTGAACCCAAAGCCAGGCTGCCTGGGTCTGCAGGGCAGCCTGAGGACACTGCTGCTGCAGCTCTAACCCAGGGTGGAGGGGTGTGGGGTACAGGGAGAGTTGGATGTGATCACTATCCCCACCCTAAGTCCAGGGCTCTGGCCCCTTGGGGCTTTGTTTGTTGATTTGTTTTTAGGGAAGGAGGAAAGAGGGCTAAGTCACACTAAATCCTGTCTCAGCCTTTTCTTTATGCTGGGCCCCCCAGCTGGGAGGAGGCGGAGGCTTCTGGCCAGCTAAGGGGCTCAGCCCTCATAGCTAATTGCTCATTAAAAAGCATTAATGGGCTTCCCATAGCCCATCCCTGCCTAGAGCAGCAAGGTTTCTCTACTCCTCTCTGCTGTTACTAACCCCTCTCTGCCTCCTAGCTGGTAGTCCAGTCCCGGGCAGGGTCCCAGAGGGTCTGACTCTTGGCCAGCAGATTCTGGGGTTGTGGGGTCCCTCAGCAACCAGTGTTCCTTATCCTCCGTGAACTAAGTTCTTGCCCATGACCACCGTCCCCCACCTCCACCCCACCTCACCCCAGCACTTACAACTTCTCCAGCAGGGACAGTCCCAAGAAGGATCCATTCCGGAGCCCAGTGATCTTGTTGTTGCTCAAGAGCCTGAAGGAAGAGAGAGAACACAGATAGGAGAATGTGCTGTTACAGGCTGGAAAATGTGGATGGAGTGGGGAGCCAGTTTCACAATTACAGCCCTGTTGCATTCTGTATAAATGGTGCCGCCTAAAGTTGTGCAAGGCAGCGAACCCACCATCAGCTCCAAGAGTCAGCAGACTGGTCAACCTACTGAGCCCCAAATCAGGCATTTCACCTGCACTGGGTCTCCCCATGGCCTGGGTCTGACTTAGGGCTCTGTATGCAGGTGGGTTGAGTAGGTGTGAAGTTGTAATGCTCCTTTACACCTTGGAACCTCAGGGTCCAGCCCACAGTGCCCCCTTCCAGCCCTCCACAGCTCTGCCTGGCCCAAGCCCTCAACCCAATATCCTAAGGACAGTGGTGGGAAGAATGGCCAGGATTGGGTCAGGGCTCTAGCAGGTGGAAAAGGAAGCCCAGCGGGTGTGGAAGCAGATGGGAGGAGCTGCCCATCCTTGGGGTCTCCAACACTTTCTCAGTGAGCTGAGGATCTCACCAGAAGGGGACACTCACAGCCCTGAAGGGGCCCTAATTCAGAGGGCCTGAGTACCTGTGCCTCCCTAAACCTGTCCTCAGTCTTAATAGAAAATGGATAGAGCTCTGGGCTTCCCCCAGCCCTCAGCCTTTCGCCCATTCCCAGCTGTTTATTTATTCGTTTGTATTTAGGGGAGGGGGAAAGAAGCCCCAAGCCAACAGTCTGAACCCACTTGGCCCACCCACTCAGCCTTTCTCCGCCAGGCTCCCCTCTGGGAGGAGGGAGTTCCAGACTAGCCAAAGGGCTCATCCCTTGAGTTAATTGCTTATTAAATGCTTTAATGAGTCTCTCCACCCAAACTCCTGCCTTCCCTGGTCTGAGGCAAAGGGTTTTCCCTGGTCTGAGGCAAAAGGTTTTCCTGCTTTTTAAAAAAAATATATCTTTTATTGATTTCAGAGAGAGTAAGGGAGAGGGAGAGAGATAGATAGAAACATCAATGATGAGAGAGTCATTGATCAGCTGCCCCCTGCAGGGCCCTGACTGGGGATTGAGCCAGCAGCCTGGGTATGTGCCCCGACTGGGAATCGAACCTCAATCTCCTGGATCCTAGGTCGAAGCTCAACTGCTGAGCCATGCCAGGTCGGGTGGGTTTCCCTTCTTTGCTCTTACTGGTGAACCTGGGAAGGCCAGAGGTACAGGCCTCAGGACTTCTCTTGAGTGGGCAGCCTCTGAACTGGACAGTAAGGGAGAGGGCAGGGGCTAGGGACCAGGCACAAGAGGAGCTGTCAAAGAGTTCTGCCCTAAAGCTCCCTGGAAGTGGGTGGGTGAATATGCCAATAGGCAGTGAGAGGATCCCAGGCATCTGACATTCCATCTACTCCACGTTCAAGAGGCTCGTGGAGAGCAGACAATGGCCAGGATGGAGGCAAGAGTGGAAGGTTCTGGGTCAATGGGAAGGGGTGGAGACCTCATCTCCTTCCTCCTCCGCCCCTCTCCAAATAGACCCTTCCTGCCCGTCTAGTCCCCACCTAACACCTAAGGTCCCTCAAACATTGGCATTTCCCAGTTGCGCCTGAAGGGTGACTATGTGGCAGAGTTCGGGGAGATTTGGGGGGGGGAGGGAATGCTGGGTTTCCAAAATGCTTCTCACATACACACACACACACACACATTGTATGAGCAGTTAGAACTTTCATGAACTCCTTTATTCTCATTTTATGGATTAGGATAGTTTTATTTCACATTATACATGGTGGTGGTAAATCATAAATAGTCCTGTCAGTTCTAAATGTCTCTAATGGCCTCATTCAGGCCCTAGTGGGGTTAGGGTGGCCCCCTCGGTGGTGATTGGCTTTTGATGGGTGACTTTTAAATCAAAGCCTGCCTCAGACCTGGCTGGGTAGCTCAGTTGGTTAGAGCATTGTCCCAATATGCCAAGGTTGCGGTTCAATCCCCAGTCTGGGTACATACAACAATCAACCAATGAATGGGTAAATAAGTGGAACAACAAATCAGTCTCTAAAATCAACAAAAATTTTTTAAAAGTCTGCCTCACCTCATCTCCAGTTCATTCCCTCTGTACACCCCCAGAGTGTGAGCTTCAGAAGTTACATTAAAAGCTGGAGAAGGCAAGAAGACCCCTCAGTATCCTTAGGAATGTCAGGGAGTGGTCCTGAAATGTCAGGAAGAAGGTGGGAAAAGGGCATCCCTTTCAGCCTCCCCCCAGCCCTAGGAGTCTCTCCCGAGGATTGCCCCCTCCCTGGGTTCCTGGGAAGGCAAGAGGATGGAGATGCTGATGGGGGTGGGGGCAAATCAGAGAGGCGGGGGTTATAAAAAGATAGAGGAACAGGGCTGCCAGATTATCACAGCCCCATCTATTAATTGGGAGGCCTGAGAACATTATTCCTCAAATTTGGGTGGCATAGGGACCTGTCAGAGGGAGGGAAAAAGTATCTTATTTCCTGGGAAAACATCTGAGAATTCCAACCCAAGAAACATTGACTTTAGAAATGAAAATCTTATCCTATGAAAATACCTTCTAATAAAAAATTATCTGCAAAAGATTTTTTAAAAGATCATTGAATGGAAAACAGAATATTTAAAAATTCTCCAACTCCCACATCCCCGAGATTAAAACCTGGGATCCTAGTTTGAGAACCTTGTCCAGACAGGTCTAGAGGTGCTGCTGGGGGGAAAGCACCCACATTCTCCAGACTTTTCTGTCTTTAACCCTTGAACTCCAAATTAACCCAGAGCTCACCAATAGAAGTACAATGCAATATGTAATCTGCTGTATATGTAATTTAAAATGTTCAAGTAGCTACATTTTAAAAAAGTTAAAAATTAAATTTCAATATTTCATTTCATCCACATATCCAAAATGTTATTATTTCAACATGTAATTAGTATACAGAATTACTGAGATATTTTCCTTTTTTTTTTTTTTTTTACTAAGTCTTCAGAATCTGGCTTGTATGCTCGTCCTACAGCACATCTCAGTGAAGACCAGCCACATCACAAGTGCTCAGGAGCACGAGCAACTAGTGACTTGTGCGTGTGCCTGGGTGCTGTGGGAGCAGAGCACAGGATCAGGGACCAGCCCCTGAGGCAGGCGGGGGCCAGCCTCTGGCCCAGGACAGCTCATCTCTTGCGTCCTACCCTCTCCACCCTGAACTGAGATCCCCTGCAGGCCAGGGCCCTCCACTCTCTCTGAGGCAGCCTCCTTTGTGCTGGGGAGGAAAGGGCAGAATGGGGTGCTCAGCTGCAGCCCACGCTTCCAGCTTGGCTAGCTCGGTGCAAAGTCCAGGCCTGAAAATCTTGAAATGAGATTTTCTTTTTCGTTGCAGAGAACATTTCCCTGATCCCCCACCCTCTAAGCCACTCACAAAAGCAGGGTCACCAGGCAAAGAGCACTTCATCTTTCTCCAATGGGCCCCTTTCTTGTCACCTTTCCAGCTCTTGGACAGACATCAACATGATTCAAGCCCCTAGATACCCAGAATTGGATCTTCTGGCCTTAACAACCTAGATCGGGCTGAGGAAATTTTACTTTATACCCAGGTTATCCAGAGAATGGTCTCAATTATGATTGTTGGTTTATTTCTCTGGAGGTGCCCCCTGTGGGTCTGGTGAGGGAGGAGAGGGCAGTGATTTGGGTCTGACATTGTTATGGGCAGGTAGGAAGCTGGCAGTTACAGGGCTGCGAGTGGAGTAGATGAAAACACACACACACAGCCTTGCCCAATGGGGAGACAAATGTTCCTACCACGCTAGGCTGTCTCATGGGAGGAAGACAGGCAGGGCAGCCTCAACAATTGGGCAGGGTAGGAGGGAGCCTCAGCCCCAAGTGTTGCAAACATAGTGCCAGTCTTGGCTACATCTTAACAACCCCCTCACCCCAACTACTAGACAGACACTTCCTGGGCCTGCACCAGCCTCTGGCCCTGCAACAGCACAGGGAGCCAGCCAGGTGGGTTTCCTTCCCAACCACCAGCCCCACCTCACAGGCCTCTGACTCGCCTAGCCCAGCATCTTCAGCTTCTTTCTTTCCGCCTTCTCTCCCCATATTGACCACTCCATCAAATTTTCATAGGAAGGCAGCCAGTCCCTGGAGTCCCCTGTTCTCTAGCCTGGAGTCTGAAATCTGGCCAAGGAGAAGGGGCACACCGAGTCCATTTCAAAACTGTCTCCCAGCTAGGGTACTATTTTAGGGAACAGAAGCAAGCGGAGTTACCACTAATGAGGCTAGAGGCCAAGGGAGCGAGTGGCTGGCGTCTACAGGGAGGCCCTGTGGCCTCTGGGAAGCCACAGGAACTCACCAGATCCCAGCCTGACATCAAAGATGACCCTGTAGGGGTCATGTGGGCACTGCTCTGTAGGCCTGGGGCCAGCATATGTCTGAACCAAATGGCTCTCCCATGTGCTGGAAAAGTCATACATGTAAGACAACCCACCCCAACACAGAGATGCAAGGACTCCAGGTCTGGACACTAGGGATCTATGCTCTCTAGAGCCTGAGCCTGGAATGTAGGCTATCACCAAGGCCTTCTGGGCTGAGAAGGCCCCATCTCCAACACCTGCTACTGGCACCTCGGCAGTGTCTTAGGTAGACCATCGGTGAGGGGGAGGAAGGTGGTCTGCTTGCTGATACCAAAAAGGCCTCAGGCCCATAATCTACCCTGACCATCAAGGTGACACTGGACTCCCAGGCTCTCCCACAGGTACAGTGCCCAGAGCCTTTGAGCAATTCCAGGGCTCACAAAGATGTCTAAAAACCTAAAAAAAAAGACCACTGCCTCTAAATATAAATGCTACAAAATTGAAGTCAATAAATGTTTAACTAATAATTACCAAATACATTATGTCAGTTAGTGATCATTGTTATATTTCATGAAGGATGACAGAGCATTTTGGAATGGATGATATGACAGTAGGGCCTCCAAAAGCTCTGCTTTGACGGACGCCCTCCAGCAAAAGGCTACCCTCCTGTGGCTTCCCTTCCAGGCTGCCCTTCAGGTCCATTTATCTCGAGTGCAGGGGACATAAATGTTGGAGAGGACATTCAACACTCCTGTACTTTCCATGATCCTGTCTCTTGGCTGGAAGCCTTTCTAGCCAGCCCTCAACCCCTACTGGTTAGCAGAGATTCAGGTAGAGTCTAAGGTCAAGGTCAAGAGAGAAAATTGTCTCGAAATGGCTCCTGTGAATGGGGTTTTCTTGTCTCCTTTTCTCTGACTTACCCTCTCTACAAGGCACCCCATCCTGGTGGTGAGCAGGTGTTTGTGGTAGGTGACCAGTGTGCTTTGATGGGGATTTTTGGTCCCCAGCACCCTAGCTTGAGCACATGTAATCCAGTGTGCTGTGATCATTCACACCTAGGCATCCATTCATGTGTTCTTCAAACCTACACTAACACCTATTGTGTGAGACAGGGGTGTCTACTATCTTCCATGCATGGGAGGTGAAGGGAGATGTCAGACAGGATGGAATGTTGAATGGAATGTTTGTGCTCACCTGATTTGAGGAAGCTGGGAAGTTACTCCCAATCCATCCTCAACGCTTCCTCAGCATGTGGCCTTAAATCTCACCGCTGGGGAGCCAAACTTTTGCGTGGTGAGTTTTTCTTTTTAAATACAAGTAAACTTGAAAGG